TAAGTTTTTTAGTCACATTCACACACACATTCACACTTCCCCTCTGAATTTAAACAAGAATGAAATATAAAATATATAAAATTCGAGAAATATTCATAACTATGTAATTAATTAGTTTATTGAATTCCTAGGAGCAGAGAATAAGATTTTCAAAGATTTAATGTATTTTCACCATATAATCAAAAGAGCCCCGTACTGACACCAGAACCCCTGACCCTGGGGCCATAAAATTCATAATTTTTGTAAAAGCACTTTTGCTTATCAAATCTATGCACTTAGTTAGTTTATTTAATACCAAGGAGGTATTTAATACCTAGGAGCAGAGAATAAGATGATTTTCAAAGATTTATTAATTATTTTCACTATATAATCAATAAAGCGCCACCTTAAGACCAGAACCCCTGACCCTGGGGCAATAAAATTCACAATTTTGGTAGAGGCACTCTATTTCATCATAACTACGTACTTAGTTGGTTTATTTGATATCCAGCAGCAGAGAAGAAGATTTTCAAAAAATAATGCATTGTTACTACATACAAATTTAGCCCCGCCCTAGCACTCCTGACCTTAGGGCCATGAATTTCACAATTTTGGTAGAGGACTCATTGCTGATTACAATCATGCAAACAGTTTGACTGCTTGATGTCCAGGAGTAAAGAAGAAGATTTTTAAAGTTTGCATTAATTTTAGTGGTTTTGCCCCCCCCCCTTTCAGGCCCCAGGGAGGCAGGGATCATGAAATTCACAAATGTTGTTTCCGTTTACCCATAGATGCTTTGTGCCAAATTTGGTTGAAATTGGTTCAGTGGTTTCAGAAAAGAAGCTGAAAATGTTCAAATGTTAACACACGACGGACGACGCACGACGACGGACGAAAACAGATAGAAATATGTCACCTGAGTTTACTCAGGAGACCTAAAATACAGTGAAAATGCATTATTTCTTTGAGAGTCTTCTTCAGTGCGATCGGGAATTAAACAAGAAACTTAATGTGTATATGATGTAGCAATAATAAGGACCTGGGTGCATCTTCCAAAATTATGAATTTTATGGCCCCAAGGTCAGGGGGTTGTGGTGCTAGGGCATGACTCTATTGATTATATTTTGAAATGCATCAATTCTTTAAAAATCCTCTCTGCTCCGTGATACTAAACAAAATAACTACAAAGGGTGCTTCTTACAAAATTGTAAAATTTAATGGCCCAAGGGTCGGGTTTTCGAGTTAAACCGGGCCTTTATAAATTATTAGTGAAAATGAGTAAATTCTTTAAAAATCTGCTACATGGTGTTATTAAAATATTTATTATGAGCTTCTTTCAAAATTGTGGAAGAGGGTGACATTCCAATTCTTCTGCAATTTATGCATTTTGTTTGGTCTTTACGTCTCTTTTTGTTGTCGTTTGTTAAATTAAATACATCAAGGGGTGTAGTGTTTTAAATCCCTCTATTGTGATGTCACAAACAAAAGCTCTCAGTCTCGTAAATGCTCGTTTAACAACCTAAAACACCGTTGTTTTAGCCAATTAAACTGCATTTTACAAAACAGTTACATTAGAGTTTATATCTAAAGGGATATAAATAGAAAAAATAACAATGTAACACTCAGATTTCTGGAAGTGTATTTAATCTTCTATTTGTACGCAAAGATTTGCGTAACCTCTTTTTAAATCAAAGTACTGAACGCACTCATGGGAGTTGAACATGGCATATAACAAAATCTTTGATCGGGAGGTTAAGTGAGTAAACAATATTAATATTTCAAATAAAGACAACTGTTTCAATTTTTTTTATTGTTGCAACAATCTTGAGAAAGACATTCAGAGACACTGAATGACAAAAAATGTGCACCTTCTATTACTATTTCATCCTCCATGTAATTTCGTTTTTCCATTGCAAAACACCTTCATATTAGAGGCGGTTGATCATTTATAGAATTCACTGCTCACATGCAGTCCTCAAATTTGTTATACAACTGTACATGTATATTTTTCCTTGGCACCGTTACCCATGTGTTATGAAAACTTCAGTTTTACAGGAATAATATCAATATTGATATAATGTGGATTTTAACACAGCATCCTTTTAAGAGCAAACAAGTTTGTTATATAAAACTTCTATGTGAATATAAATGTATTTCAGTTACACGAACATTATACATGGAGTACGTCAGAACTTAAGGTAGGATTCTTCTTATATTTCTAATATTTGAAAATTAATGAAATGTTCACAGAATCAAGAAGACAATAAGTGATAGTATCAGTGAAATTAAATTTGACTGTTTTATATTAGAGGCAAGGTCAGGTCAAGGTCATTATCTTTTTCCTTGACATTAAGAATGAAAAATAACTGTTGCCAATTAATTGATACCTACTTCTATTTCAAAATTTTAATTATTATTCTTTTTGCATAAAAACATATTACTATTTTGGGTCTATAGCATGATATAACCAAAATTTATATAAATAATTTAACTTAACTGGATATTGGCTAATCCGAATTTTCTCTGTTTTTCTTAATTTTTTAGGATATATTAGCTATTTTCATATGTTTCCTATATTCAACTTTTTCTTATTTTCACATATAATAAAGTATTCTTATAAATGTACAAAATGATACAAAAACAAAAAAGTTTTGATCGTTTGCTAAGAGAGAAAAAATACTTTTTATGGGTTTTTGGCTCAAATCTTCACTCTGATAGGAAGCGTTTAAAAGCTAACAAAGTTCTAGTTTGTTTGAAAAATCATATTTGTTTGATATATTTTGAAACTGAAGTCCCTCATTATTAATCTAACTTACATTTGAAAATTTCTCTAAGACCTCCATTGTGTAAAAATTATAACTAAATTCATTGTTCTATTATAAATTTGAGAGGCAGAAAAGAAGATATTTTCATACGCCACCATTCCGCCAAAAATATAGTCCCTTCTAGTTTTCAAACACAGTTAAACAATTTCTATTTTAAGTTGTACAATTGTGACGACGAAAGAAAAATATGGTCTTTTAAATTCCTTACATCTCAATATGTAAGACATATGAGCAAATATACTTTGAATGTTTCATCTAGTCAGAAACCAGAAAAGAATCCTACCTTAAGTTAAAAACAAATCTTTAATAACCAAACATAAAAAACAGTGGTATATGTGAGAGTTTGTGTGCGTACAAATTAACTGGTATCTAAATGAGGTTTTCCTTTTATTAAAAAATATAATTCATTTTGTTGCTTTTAATCGCAATTTTACGAAAACATGGGTGTCCGTTTTTGGTTTTACTAGTAACATTTAAACCAGGGTACTAGATTTAACGCTTTTGGAAGGTGATACTGCTGATTTAATAATAAATACGCATATTTCCTAAAGTTTTAATGCATTAATGAATTAATTTAAACCAAGGAAATGTTCATGAAAAGTTTGAATAAATTCTCTGCACCGGGCGTCGAGAAGACTAGATTCACCGCTGGCAGTATATAGAGTTGTCGTTCGTATCTCTTTCAGTGTATGACGCTACACAGAAAATGAGTTCCAACACGAAAAACTTTTGAGGTTCTTGATAATTCAGTTTTACTTTTAACGAAATCTAAAATTCAAAATAAATTACTTTATCATTACATTTATTTACATTTCAAATTATGAAAATCAGATATATTCAGGAGAAAATGATATGAACTATTTTTGGCGGATGTTTATGTATGTTTTCTGCTGAATATAATCGGAGTAAATCGGGCGACACAGTAACCTCGCTTTCGGCTCTATATAATCAACACAAATTACTACGCATGTTAAATACGTGATGACCATGGGAAATTGAACATATATATATCATTGACAGCTGCTTCTTCCACAAAAATGGAACTCGTAAATTTACTTACCTCGTCATTGGTCATTTGAAAAATTATTTTGTTAAAACAGATTCTGATTGCACACACAAATACTCTGAAGTTGACATCAAGAAGATGCTTGAGTTTCTGATTGACAATATCTGTGTGGTTTTTGGAGACCAGGTATTCCAACAATCTATTGGAATTCCCATGGGTACAAATTGCGCTCCGTTATTAGCAGACTTATTTTTATATTCATATGAAGCAGAATTTATGCAAAATCTTTTGCGTGAAAAGAAAAAAACACTTGCTGTGGCCTTCAACTCGACATTTAGATATATCGACGACGTATTGTCAATTAATAATGATTATTTCCATTCCTACGTCGACACGATATATCCTGGTGAGCTTGAGATAAAAGATACCACAGAGTCTGACACTTCTGCTTCATACTTGGATATTGTACTTGAAAAAGACACAAATGGTAATCTAACAACCAAGCTATATGATAAACGTGATGACTTTAACTTTTCTATCGTCAACTTCCCTTACTTATGCAGCAATATGCCTTCATCACCTGCATACGGAGTATTTATATCTCAGTTGATTCGATACGCAAGAGCATGCTCTACGTATGAACAATTTCTTAAAAGAGGTAAATTATTGACAAGCAAGTTGATGAAACAAGAATATCAATAGTCTCGTTTAAAGTCATCATTTCGTAAATTCTATGGTCGATACAATGCCCTTGTCAGCAAATACAATTTATCATTGAATGATATCAATGCTGACTGACGTTTTTCATACCAATTGTTAGTCCATTATTTATACACTGAATTGACCACGGATTTTTTCCGTTATTTCCTGATCATGACAACGAGCACACGGCGGGTGTGACCGGTCGGCAGGGGATGCTCACTCCTCCATGGCACCTGGTCCCACCTCTGATGTTTCGGAGGTCCGTGTTTGCTCTGCTCTTGTTTTGTATATTTGTTTAAAGAACGTTGAGATTGAACACTGTTCGTTATTTCCATATCCTTCTTCAACTCCCAAAAATGATTTATGACTTTTAATTCAATTAAATGGTCATTCAGAAAATATTGTAGAGGAGAAATATTCACATTATATATATTCTACCAAATGGGATTCTACAAAAGGCTTTATTTTATTTCACTAATTTAGCCATGTTAGTGAAAGCTTCCCTGTATTCGCATTTCTGAAGCTCTGTGTATGCTGTTGAATGGTGCTTGTCTGAGAGATTGTTGGTATGAGTATAAAGCAGCCTGGAGGTTCCCTGTCACCTGTTGACAGATCCCCAGAATCTGCCATGTTATGTCTCTGAGATGTAAAGGTATAAACTGTCCTTGATCATAGTGAACTAGGGTCTGTAGATCATCTAGGGCTGTTTGTAGTCTCATTGTGTCTATATGTCTGTAGCACAAGATCTCTAGCATGTATAACAGTATAAAGGGTGGAATATGTAATGAAGTCTCCCTGTTCTGTATAGCAGACTGTTGTTCTGGTATCAATTCACTCATGTAATGGATTTTATTGTCAAGGTTGATATCCCATGCTACAGCCTGTCTCATCTTTTTAGACCAGGACTGTCCCCCTAGAGTCTTACATGTAGTATACATCTCTATATCTACATTATATCCATATATCACATATGGCTGTGCTAACTTGACCTTGATCATCTCTATGACGGATAAAGCTTCCATGTATCGAAATCCGTTGTAATAATAAATAGCTATGTACAACATGTCAGTAATACAACCAAACTTGGCTGCTAATTTCGGCATGTAACAAGAAATTTTGTCAGCTCTATACCTCAGCTTGTTTTTATGTGTGTAAGTTTCTATATGTAACATAAAAGCTGTGCTCTGAAGGACATAAGCTGTAAGTTTCTGTAGCATCACGGCTTGATACTGTGTAAGAAGGGGTAAGCCTATCATCTGTTCTATTCTATGTAGATTTTTCATATAGGATTCTACTAGGTTTGGTGTGCTAAGTGTGCAATATTTGCAAATTTCTTGAAACAGCACTATATTAAACACCATTTCAGGGATTAGAGTATGTTCATCTGAACAGATGAAGAGGTGGGGGTTATATAGGACATTTATGATACAAGACCTAATAGATGGACTGTGTAGCAGGAATGCTATACCCTTCTCATACAATCCATACAGTTTTATTAATAGCTGATGTTGTGCTTCACCATGAATCTTACCCAGAAACATATTGTTTTGAGGAATGAAAAAGTTAGGACAGACCCCCTCATACACCCATTTTAGGATGAGTTTGAAACAGACCCAGAAACACTCCATGAAATTTTGTGGACACCAGTAAAGTATTTTGTTCTGTTGAATAACCCAAAAAACTGCTGTCTTCGTGTGATAGGAACACAGTAATTTATCAGCATCACTCAGTCCATTGTTAATTATTTCTGTTAAGAATAATTTAAGCAAGCCATAGGTCAAGAATTGATAGTGATTCATAGCACCCACAAGTTTGTGTTCTGCAAGAGAGAAAGAAATTCTCCATTCATTGCTTTCATGATGTCCTAGCTTATGTCCAATTGCTACAAAATGACATCCATTTTTCACTATATCATCAACAATATAAGTCTGGGGCCATGAGCGACATCTGTCTATCCATGAGGAGGCAGATGGAGACCAAAAGTCACTGACAAAACAGTCAGCAAAATCATATTCTGTATCACTGCCAAAAGTTCCACTGGCACATGGTCCATGTTGAATGGAGTCAGGTGACAGTGCAGAACACCATATATTTCTGTATTCTGAACTGGAGATATAAAACCGGTTATTCATTCTAAAACAGGCTCTCTGTACGTCTTCATCCCTGCTTGTTGACAGTAAATATAGCAAAGTGTACCCTGGTGGACTCTCAGAACAGTCACAGAGGATCAGTGTTTGTCTGTGTGTGTTGTAATACTGAGACTGAGATAATTCCCAAATCACACGGTGATCATTTCGCCAGTACATATAGTCTATATCTGATCCTTCTAGTCTGAATCCTTCTTTGTTACTTCCATTCACCATCACACTATTCTCACCACTTGTTTTCCCTTTATTGTCCACCACATCCCTAATGTCCGCCACATCTCTCCTCATGGCCACCTCCTGTGAAGTCCCGAGATTATAACACAGTCCCACGAACACTGACTCAGACATATGTTGAAGAGCCATCTTCCTAATGATGAATACCATACTTATATAAATGCAAGCTTTAGAAAATCTTTCAATTATTACATAATTTCGATAATTATATATTAAGGTTAATATTTACATTTTACTCTACGTTTTCAAAAATTCTCACCGGTCACGATAGCCTAGTGGTAGAGCGTTCGCTTCGTGATCGGGAGGCCCGGGTTCGATTCTCGATCGCGGCGCTGCGTCATACCTAAGACGTAAACATAGGTAGTGACTGTTCCTTCACCAAGCGCTCGGCACTAGAAGTGAAAGTCACGGGTCTTTCGGATATGACCTTAAAAGCGTAGGTCCCATGTCACGGTAGGCGTTGGCACGATAAAGAACCCTCACTGCTCAATGGCCCTGAGTGCCGAGTATAGGTCTAAATTTGAAGCCCTTTACCGGCATCTGTGACGTCTCCATATGAGTGAAAAATTCTCAAGAGGAACGTTAAACAAAATACAATCAATCAATTAATCAAAAATTCTTATTGCTTTCAAGGTTTTTATTTTTTAATGTACGGGCTTGATTTATTCTCAGCTTATAATAAAGTTACAAAGAACAAAAGAACATAAAAATATATATATGCTATATTATCTATACAAAGTTAATCAAATTACATCACAGTACTTACTGATAACGACATTAAAGACCTTTTGAGTACTAGTAATTATACCCATCAAAACATACATTGGTAACATTCTTTCAAAATGGGGTCCATTTTAACATATTGAGAAATGAAAATTACAAGGTGCTATATATAAATAGAAGGGAAAAACCACTATGAATCTACTTTCGTTTTATAATGACTATTTGTGTTGGGCACATGTTTCTTATACGGGGTACCCCCTGCTTATTTCACTGACCCTTCGGGCTTCACAGGATTCGATCACGTGACCAACTAAAAGTTCATTACCCAGAGAACCTTTCAACATTGTTGTTTATTTCTTAAGTAAAAGTAGGTCAAACTCAACGGTCAAGAGGTCAAACTTGGTGGTACCCAAAAACGACTTGTCACAAGGAATACACCTGTGAAATATGAACGCCATGGCCCTTTCCAATCAACCCTTATATGGGCTAGGTTTAAGTTGACATCAGTCAAAATCGCAGGATATAAAATATATCCTCAGGATCTTGCAATACTGGGGCATTAAAATTAATGGTTGGAATGGAAATAATTTTAATCTTCAAGTTTGAACAATATAAGACCACTAACCTCCCGTTCACACATAAAAGGCGCTTCTACTACGATCAAAAATTGTGGTCAAAAGCGTGGCCGATCGTGACAAATCGCAGGAGGAACGTCGTGGGGTCGTCAGAAGCGTAGTATGATCGCAGTAGAGTCTTCATGATTGGAGAGCTCTACGCTCTCACCACGCTTATTTTGAACATGTTCAAAACAAGCGTAGCGGGATTGTGGTCAACAAAAATCGGGGTGAAGTCGTAAAAAAGGCGTAGTAGAAGCGCCGTAATCGTACAAGCAGCGCGGAAGCATCGTAGAGAGATCTTCATGATCGTAGTAAAAGCGCCGTGAGAGCGTACGAACTTACCAAGCACGCTCATACAACGCTCCGTCTACGTTCGTACTACGTTCTCACTACGATCTCTCTACGTGCCTGAAGATCCTACGACGATCTACAATGACCTTACACCGATCATATCACGACCTATCAGACAAGAGCTTATACCGCTGATATTTGACCAATCATCATCTGTTAACTACATAAAAAAGGGTGACACTATACTTGATGATCATTTACAATTGAGCATTTTCACATCTTGTTACAGTTATAATAATTGAAAATGTCCTAAACCTAGCTGCAGATCTGTAGCTCTCCGAAAAAATATATATTGATATTGATAGACCGGACTATCAATAATTTTTTTTTTCGGAGAGCTACCGATCTGCAGCTACCCTAGACCATGTGGTTGCGATCGGCTGCGATCTGCCCCGATCAAAAATAAAATTCAGATCGTGGATTGATCGGGATGATCGCCGTAGAGTCGCAGCTCTGTGTGAACAGGGGGTAAGAGTTGAATTATTGGTTTTCAAGGAAAAAATTCTAAACTTAAAAAAATGCATAGAATTATAAAATTAGGAAATATTATTAAAAATAGCAGTGATATAAAGGATATAATTTATCATTTTTTTTTTTTGTTGTTGTTTTTTCAATGACTTCCAAAATTTTTAAGTATTAAAAACAAATTATTCATTTAAAATTTAAGATCCATATAAATACTATTTATTAATCGTTTAATTCCATTCTGACCGCTGCATACCTTCTACCTTATATATAATTCTGCATGCCTTTACTAGTATACAGTTAATTCCTTAAAAGTTTGATTTTTGTATATTTTCAGGCCATTTTGATCTAGTCTTATATTTCTTACGTATATATTTTCATGCATTCCATCATTTCTTTATAATTCTTACTTCTGTAAATTTTCAGTCGATCCTGCCTCTACTGGAGTCTGACCTTCTGGATTATAATTCAGACTAGTGCATACTTCCATGTATTCTGTAATTTCTTTATAATTCTGCCTTTATTTTTATGTTTCAGTCGATCCTAACTCTACTGGAGTCTGACCTGTAGGAAATATGTCAAGCCTGTGTGGAGGGAAAACTCACCAACAACCTCCCACAGTTTACCTCGGACCTGTATACAGCGGAGGTGGTGCTAGCCAGTGGGGATACCCTGTATACAGCAGGGTTGGTGCTAGTCAGTGGGGGTTACCCTGTATACAGTTGGGGTGGTGCTAGTCAGTGGGGATACCCTGTATACAGCGGGGGTGGTGCTAGTCAGTGGGGATACCCTGTATACAGTTGGGGTGGTGCTAGTCAGTGGGGGTTACCCTGTATAAAGTTGGGGTGGTGCTAGTCAGTGGGGGTTACCCTGTATACAGTTGGGGTGGTGCTAGTCAGTGGGGGATACCCTGTATAAAGTTGGGGTGGTGCTAGTCAGTGGGGGTTACCCTGTATACAGTTGGGGTGGTGCTAGTCAGTGGGGGATACCCTGTATACAGCGGGGGTGGTGCTAGCCAGTGGGGGTTACCCTGTATACAGCAGGGTTGGTGCTAGTCAGTGGGGATACCCTGTATACTGTTGGGGTGGTGCTAGTCAGTGGGGGTTACCCTGTATACAGCGGGGGTGGTGCTAGCCAGTGGGGGTTACCCTGTATACAGCAGGGTTGGTGCTAGTCAGTGGGGATACCCTGTATACAGTTGGGGTGGTACTAGTCAGTGGGGGTTACCCTGTATACAGTTGGGGTGGTGCTAGTCAGTGGGGGTTACCCTGTATACAGCGGGGGTGGTGCTAGTCAGGGGGGATACCCTGTATACAGCGGGGGTGGTGCTAGCCAGTGGGGATACCCTGTATACAGCGGGGGTGGTGCTAGTCAGTGGGGATACCCTGTATACAGTTGGGGTGGTGCTAGTCAGTGGGGATACCCTGTATACAGCGGGGGTGGTGCTAGCCAGTGGGGGATACCCTGTATACAGCGGGGGTGGTGCTAGCCAGTGGGGGTTACCCTGTATACAGCAGGGTTGGTGCTAGTCAGTGGGGATACCCTGTATACAGCGGGGATGGTGCTAGCCAGTGGGGGATACCCTGTATACAGTTGGGGTGGTGCTAGTCAGTGGGGGTTACCCTGTATACAGCGGGGGTGGTGCTAGTCAGTGGGGATACCCTGTATACAGCAGGGTTGGTGCTAGTCAGTGGGGATACCCTGTATACAGCAGGGTTGGTGCTAGCCAGTGGGGGTTACCCTGTATATAGCAGGGTTGGTGCTAGTCAGTGGGGATACCCTGTATACAGCAGGGTTGGTGCTAGTTAGTGGGGATACCCTGTATACAGTTGGGGTGGTGCTAGTCAGTGGGGATACCCTGTATACAGTTGGGGTGGTGCTAGTCAGTGGGGGTTACCCTGTATACAGCGGGGGTGGTGCTGGTCAGTGGGGATACCCTGTATACAGCGGGGGTGGTGCTAGCCAGTGGGGGATACCCTGTATATAGTTGGGGTGGTGCTAGTCAGTGGGGATACCCTGTATACAGTTGGGGTGGTGCTAGTCAGTGGGGATACCCTGTATACAGCGGGGGTGGTGCTAGCCAGTGGGGGATACCCTGTATATAGTTTGGGTGGTGCTAGTCAGTGGGGATACCCTGTATACAGCGGGGGTGGTGCTAGTCAGTGGGGGTTACCCTGTATATAGCAGGGTTGGTGCTAGTCAGTGGGGATACCCTGTATACAGCAGGGTTGGTGCTAGTTAGTGGGGATACCCTGTATACAGCGGGGGTGGTGCTAGCCAGTGGGGGATACCCTGTATACAGCAGGGTTGGTGCTAGTCAGTGGGGATACCCTGTATACAGCAGGGTTGGTGCTAGCCAGTGGGGGTTACCCTGTATACAGCAGGGTTGGTGCTAGTCAGTGGGGGTTACCCTGTATACAGCAGGGTTGGTGCTAGTCAGTGGGGATACCCTGTATACAGCGGGGGTGGTGCTAGCCAGTGGGGGTTACCCTGTATACAGCAGGGTTGGTGCTAGCCAGTGGGGATACCCTGTATACAGCAGGGTTGGTGCTAGCCAGTGGGGATACCCTGTATACAGCAGGGATGGTGCTAGTTAGTGGGGATACCCTGTATACAGCGGGGGTGGTGCTAGCCAGTGGGGGATACCCTGTATACAGCAGGGTTGGTGCTAGTCAGTGGGGATACCCTGTATACAGCAGGGTTGGTGCTAGCCAGTGGGGGTTACCCTGTATACAGCAGGGTTGGTGCTAGTCAGTGGGGGTTACCCTGTATACAGCAGGGTTGGTGCTAGTCAGTGGGGTTACCCTGTATACAGCGGGGGTAGTGCTAACCAGTGGGGGATACCCGGGGGAGTACAAAAAATGGTTCCGTATCTATTTTGGGAATCACCAATGGATACCATCATATGTATTTGAAGGCTCCAGATCGTTTTCCTTAATATTCCCAATATCCAATGTAAGTTGGGAGGATCTG